GGGAGGAAGCGCCGCCGGCTCAGGGCACCTGGGGTGGCGGAGGGCACCTGGGGTTGGCGGAGGGTGGAGATTTAGGGCGCCGGGCGGCCTTCTGCACTTTGGGGAAGTTTCCGACCACCGTGGGCAGTCAGGTGGCGGCGCAGACATTCGCCACGGGGGCGGGTGCCTGTCAGCACTTCGCTCCTGCAGGTGTAACTCGCTGGTGCCAGTGCCTTTCCAGGGGGGACAGCTCGGGAAGTTCGAGGTCTCCCTCTTTCGGCCAGTTTCTTCTTGACGTTCTGAGCCTGTTGAGGAAGAGGCTTCATTTTATGTTTTACGTGCTTTGGTGACACTTAGTCAACACCGGGCTATTGCACAGCAGTGCTGTCAGTGTAGAGTGTGCAGTTCTCTCACTGGAACCCCACACCAGAGCAGTCCTCCCCAGCAGGTGGTAACCTTGGACAGTTCCCTCCAAAAACCCTCCGTTTGTAGAGGACTGGGGGGCGGGGCTGAGGGGGTGTGAGCGCTGACCACCTCAGACTGCGGTTTCCAGGTGCGCCAGGTGATTGCTAACCACGCTAACACCGCCCGGTGACCTCAGCACCTCGCCAGGCTCTGCGGACCCTGGAGGTTGGAGTGCAAGTGCTGGGTCTGTGACTTTCTGAGTCCTGCAAGGATTTTAGCTTTCGGGCTGTCTTGGCGTTGTTTCTGTGGGACTGTCTAATGCAGGCTAAGTGGCCTATTCATCTTTGTTCCCTGAGGGTCTAGCAACACCCGGCTAAATACGTGGCGATTGAAGGAAGCTAAAGAACTCATTATTGAAGAAATCACATGTTATCTTTCAAAAAATACTTGAAAAGTTTTTAGGATATGAGATTGGTTTAACGTAGTACCACGATTTAAACTTTTGTTTTGTCATGGATACCTTGGTACCAGATCAAATAGTTCTTTTTCTTTGTTAAGCTTGACTTTAGTGATGATTTTTAGTTCTGATACTGTGATCCATTTGCCTCAAAGGAAGGCCATTAAATTTGCCAAACAAAATTGACTTTATTTCAGGAGAAAGCTTATAGGGAAGGGGGATTGCAAAAAATCTGAGGATGGGATCACAACTTCCACTAGTTTATTAGCACTGTTCATAGAACAGAGGTCATGTACTACTTCTGAGATGGCATGCTCTGTCTTCATGCTCAGACAGGCCATTGCCTGTGTGTGGATGTACTGGGAAGAGACTGGGAAATTAACTACATATACACAGGTGAGGAGCAGGCTCAGCATGACCTAAAACCTTGGATGAAAGAAATGCTTTCTTCAGCCTTCTTTTTTTTTTTTTTTAAATATATTTTATTGATTTTTTTACAGAGAGGAAGGGGGAGGGATAGAGAGTTGAAACATCAATGAGAGAGAAACATCGATCAGCTGCCTCCTGCACACCCCCTACTGGGAATGTGCCCGCAACCAAGGTACATGCCCTTGCCCAGAGTCGAATCTGGGACCCTTGAGTCCACAGGCCGAGGCTCTATCCACTGAGCCAAACCGGTTAGGGCCAGCCTTCAACTCTTGTCAGTCCATGCAAACATGGACGAAATGCCAGGGTCACACGGGCCAAGAAAACCATGTGCCACAGGTTGCAAAATCAGAAAATAAAACTAACTGTTAGGCTCTAGATTGTGTTTTATTTTTTAAAAGTAAATGGCTTTTAAAAAATTGCTTATTCAGTGACTCTTGTAATTTATACTTTTTCAAACACATCTGTAAATTCTCTATGAAACCTTTGGGCAAAGGGCCATGACCTGAGAATAGAGAACATTGATGAAATGCTAGATGAGCCAACTCCCAGACCACAAACATAAAACCACCTTGTTATCAGTCTCTATAAGACCATAAATCAAGTATTACTGGGTACCCAGAAAATCAGTCTCTTTTAGGTCAGTATGCAGAAGAGAATTCTGTGTTTAATTTTCTGTGAGTGCTTTGTTTGTGGCCTTAATATGGAGACTAAGAGACTGCTATTATAGCAAAAGTGCCTCAGGGTATTTACAGCAAAAGTATTTGAAAGCATGGAAATTGTCCGTCAAGTAAATTCTGAGCACCTATGTGAAAATGTAGAAGGGTATGTAAATGATGAGAATGTCTTAGGGGGTATGAAGTGCTGTAATCATCTTTTGTTTGCAGGAATTCCATCAAGGAGTCAGAAATTTCATCTTTATTATATTGATATTACTTAATTTGAATATCTTCTGTCTTTTTCTTTGCATTTTTTTGTGTGAACTTAGCTGCTGTTTTTGTGAGTCTTTAAAAACAACCTAAAGGAGGGTTGGTATTTTGTGTGTGTGACCAGTTTCAAATATGAATCAAGAAATCTACCTTAGCCAAAACCGGTTTGGCTCGGTGGATAGACGTCGGCCTGCGGACTGAAGGGTCCCAGGTTCCATTCCTGTCAAGGGCATGTACTTTGGTTGCGGGCACATCCCCAGTGGGAGGTGTGCAGGAGGCAGCTGGTTGATGTTTCTCTCTCATCAATGTTTCTAACTCTCTATCCCTTTCCCTTCCTCTCTGTAAAAAATCAATAAAAATATATTTTAAAAAAGAAAAAAGAAATCTACCTTATTTCTCATCACTTGCCCCTTTGGGTTTCCTGTTCATGCCTTAACCAAGTCCTGTCTGATGCCTTCGCCCATACTGTTCCCTCAGAGCTCAGCTTAAATTTCACTTGCCCTGGCAGGTAGCTCAGCTGTTAGACCATTGGCCCCATACACCAAGGTTGCAGGATAGATCCCTGGTCAGGGCACATACAAGAATCAACCGATGAATGCATAAATTAATGAAACAACAAATTGATGTCTCTCACCGTCTCTTTTTCTGTCTCTCTCCCTCCCTTGTCTCTCCCCGTCCTTCTCTCCCTCAATCTTCCTTCCTGTGTCTAAAACCAATAATTAAAGAAATTAAAAAATATAATCTAAAAATTTGTTTTCACTTCAGTTAGAACTTGCTTGTCTATCTAGAGTAAGCCTTGTGAATCTATGAACAATTTATTGGTAAATCGTTTTTTGTTTTATTGATTCTTTTAGAGAGACAGGGTAAGGAAGAGGAAGAGATTGAACATCAATTTCTTTAGTAACTTTTTTTTCAGTCTTATATATTTTCCAGGATGTCTTATTTCTGACTGCTTCACTTGCTCCACTAGGGTCATAGAGCCTGAAAACATTTTTAACTTGTAATTTGAGGTCCTGCTGATTGGATTCCCTATCAGGGATAGGTCTAGGATTTTTATGATTTTGGATTCTGTTATTGTCCTTTAAAATGTTTTTTCACTTGCTTTTTCTGCAGTTATTTTTTTTTAAGGGCTAGAAGGAAACTCCATGATCTTTTACCTAGTTCTACCCCATTACTATAGGTTGATAGAAAGATAGGAAGACCATAGATGATTAGAAGGAACAAATATTTATTGAGCCAGGCACTGCTCTAGGCTTTGGGAATGTAGCCACAAGCAAAACAGATAAGGAAGGTAGCCCATGTTTTATTGACATGTGTATTGTAATAAAGAATAAACGAACCAGTTAATTACAGATTGTGATAGATGATATACATATAAAAAAGATAGTGTGATAGAGGGGGAGGTACTTTAGATGGAACAAACAAGTTTATAAAAGGGTGAGCTGCCCATGAATGAAATAATTCTTCTCATAAGAGTAGTTACTTAGACCTAAACTTTAGGCACATGTAGTCAGAGTTTCTCCTCCTTGTTCTTGAAAATTCCAAAGAGTAACTAGCTCTCATAAATGCATGTCTTCTATTTTCTGTTATATTCCTTCTCATACTTGAATTCTCAGCAACATTTGACTCTTTCAGTAACTGCTTCTTTAAGAAACATTATATTCTGGTTCTGTGACTTTGGCATCTCTTGGTTTTCCTTTTACTTTTCTGACTTCTCTGGATTCCTCTTACATTACTTTTGGTGTTACTTGGCATTCTTTCTAAGATCCACTTTAGTTCTCATTCTGCACACTGCCTAGCTTATATTATCCATTCCAGTGAGTTCAGTTACCATTTGTTGACTGTTCCAAAATGTATATCTCATTCATTCAACAGATATTTATTTAAAATGTTTTTTTGTTGATTTCAGAGAGGGGAAGGAGAGGGAGAGAAAGAACCCGGGCATGTGTCCTGACCGGGACTTGAACTATGATCTCCTGGTTCATAGGTCAAGGCTCAGCCACTTAGCCGCACAGGCTGGTTGGTATTTATTGTCAACTATGTCCTGTGTCTGTTGAGGATATAGTGTTGAGTAAAACACACAAGATTCTTTCTTCATGGAGCTGATTGACAGCTTAAGAACTTTATTAGCCCTAACCAGTTTGGCTCAGTGGATAGAGCGTCAGCCTGCGGACTGAAGGGTCTCAGGTTCAATTCCGGTCAAGGGCATGTACCTTGGTTGCGGGCACATCCCCAGTAGGGGGTGTGCAGGAGGCAGCTGATGGATGTTTCTCTCTCATCGATGCTTCTAACTCTCTATCCCTCTCCCTCTCTGTAAAATATCAATAAAATATATATTTTTAAAAAAACAACTTTAAGATTAGATCTCTTTCTGGAGTTTCTGATCCATATTGTTTATTGGAAATGAAAGTCTGATAGTGAACTTATCTCCCAAGCCTGCTCCTCCTCTGTTGTCTATCTTCCTGAGGGATGATACCACTATCCACCTGGCTAGATACCTGGTCACCATCCTTAACTCTTTTTTTTTTCCAGATAAAAAAGATTTTTATTCAGAATATATAAAGAACTTTCAAAACTAAGAAGAAAACAGACACCCAATAAGAAAATGGGAAAAATATTTGAATAGACACTTCATTAAAGGAAATAATACAAATGGCAAACAAATACATGAAAAGACGCTTAACACTATGGTCATTAGGAGAGGTAAATCAAAACCACAATGTAGTACATTACATACCATTAGAATGGCTAACAGTGAAAACAAAAACAAAAGCCGATAATACCAAGTGTTAGCAAGGGATGTGGGGCATCTGGAAGTCTCACGCATTGCCCATGGCAAAACAATGTGTCAGTTTCTTAAGAAGTTAAACATAGCCTTACCATACAATTTAGCAATCTCACTCCTAGATGTCTATCCAAGTGAAATAAAATATAAAGACCTCCAGGGAACCTGCATGCAACATTTATAGCTGCGTTACTTTAATTCAGCGGTTCTCAACCTGTGGGTCGCGACCCCTTTGGGGGTCGCCTAAGACCATCGGAAAACACATTATTGTTTTTGTGACTAATCACTATGCTTTAATTATGTTCAATTTGTAACATTTGAAAATACATCCTGCATATCAGATATTTACATTACGATTCATAACAGTAGCAAAATTACAGTTATGAAGTAGCAACGAAAATAATTTTATGGCCCTGACCGGTTTGGCTCAGTGGATAGAGCATCTGCGTGCAGACTGAAGGGTCCCAGGTTCGATTCCGATCAAGGGCATGTACCTTGGTTGCGGGCACATCCCCAATAGGGAGTGTGCAAGAGGCAGCTGAATCGATGTTTCTCTCTCATCAATGTTTCTAACTCTCTATCACTCTCCTTCTCCCTTCCTCTCTATAAAAAATCAATAAAAATTATTTTTAAAAAAAGAAAAGAAAATAATTTTATGGTTGGGGGTCACCACAACATGAGGAGCCTGTATTAAAGGGTTGCGGCATTAGGAAGGTTGAGAACCACTGCTTTATTTTTTTTTTTCATCCTTAACTCTTTTTTTCTCCTTCATCCCTATTGTGCTTTCTTTTGTTTCCATCTTTTAAATATTTTTGGAATCTCTATCTTTCCAAATCCATTTCTTCTACTCTGTTTCAGGCCACCCACATCTCCTGCCCAGAATTCAAGAAGTTTGTGTCATTCTGACTGTGTATCAATGTCTGGCACGTAGGAAGTACCTAATGAATATTTCTGAATAAATGAATGGACAACTAAAACTGTCCCATAACTGATCTATCTGCTTTCAGTATTGCCAACCTATAAATTGGCCATCACACTGTAGCCACATCTCTCCAAAATGGAAATCTGATCAGATAATTTCCATACTTAAAGCCTTTAGAGGCTCTATCTAAAGTTCTTAAAGTGGAAGTACCTAACACACAAGGCCTTGTAATCGACTGCTCCTTTTCTTACAAGCCTCACCTTTTCCTTTCTGAGCCATACTGAACGCTGCGTTTGTTTTGCGAAACGTACTCTTTCCAGGCCTTCTTACAAGCTGCCTTATGCTTGGCGCTCTTTCTCTTCTGTTGCCTTGCTAACATCATTCATCTTTCAGGTTTTAATTCTGGGTGCTTTTTATGAGCACCAGGTGCGGATTGTGCCCATCTCCTATTTTCCCACAGCAAACTGTTCTTTCCCTCTCATAGAACTCCAGTGTTAGATCAAACTAACCTATTGCTTTAATTCCCTTACTAAACTACTGGGATCCAGTAGATACTATTTTTTGGTTTGTTGGATGAATGGATAATTATACTA